ATGTTGGTGGTTTGAACCCACCCTGGTGCTCTGTGAGAGTTAAGAGTGCTGCCCTGCTCCTATGTAGACCTGCTTTGTCCCCTGGGGTCACTCCAAGCCAGACGGAATTCTCGGCTGCTGGGCATCAAGGCGGCTCTGACCCATAGAGACCTAATGACAGAGTGGCTGTGTCATGCTAACGTCCACTGCTGGAGTAACCGTGTCAAACCATCTCACTCAAGGGCTTCTTTTGCTGCCCTCTGCTTTGCTGAATTTTACTAGGTAGTTTTTATGTGAAATTAAGATTTACACTTAAAGAGCAGGCTCGGGTATTTCTAGCTTGGAATAAACTGATGGACACACGCAGGCATCCAGGGCGTTAAGGGAAAGCTTTCCTAGTTTGCTTTCCACAGATACTTAGATAGAGAGAAACAAAAATGTGTTTTAGGTTAAAGTTTACACAGCCAATTAGTTTTCCATCTAACAATTTTTACATATTGCTGTGAATGCAGCGTTCGGTGCCAGCATTCTCATGATTTCCATTCTGCTTGGTTTTTTTTTTCTTTTTTTAAATTTTTTTTCATTCTGCTTGTTTTTATGAACCTTTCTTGCCTCTCCTCATCTTTGCTTCAGGGAAAATGCTGGCTCTCCAGTTTTAGCTGATGACCAGGGGAGTGCTAGTAGTTACAGGTAAACAAGTCAATCTATTATTAGGAAAAAATCACCTCCAGGAATAACTTCATCTCCTAGTTTAAAGGGTAACTTAAGACAAAACTCTTGGCAGTTCTTCTTGTTTCTCTCAGTCCAACAGAGATGGTCTTTTATTTAACAGAAATATGAAGGGTTTTTAAAATAATTTTTCTCCCATTGCACCCAGGAACCAAACCACCACCATTTAGTAGTGTGACTCTGCAGGACAGTTAATCTACCCAGTGTTTGCAAGGGTGTAATATTTTTTTAATAATTTTATTCCATTATTTTTGTGCATGTGCCATCAAATCAGATCTGCTGGAACAGAAGGAGATTGACCCTCCTTCTCCAGCAGAGCATCTGGTGGTTTCGAACTGTGCGCCTCTGGATTGCAGTGCAGTTTCCTGCCACTAGGCCACCAGAGCTCCCTAAGGGTATAATTTTTATGGAACTACTATCTCACATCCCCCATGGTGTGGTTGGTGGATTCAAACCTCAGGCTTATGGCTTAGCAACAAATGCCTTAACCACAGTGCCACTTTCTTTACCCAGATTTTCTCCTAATTAGCTGTTCTTTTGTGTGTGTGTGATGTTTATTTTTGTTTTATTGACTATGGAAATGTATTTGACTGTGTGGATCATAATAAATTATGGATTAACTTTTTTAAAATTCATATTTATTTCTACTTTAAAGCATGTTTATGACCTTTCTACAAAGATGGAGCTAAAAACAAAGAAAGAAATCCCTGCCCCTCCCAAAACTGAAGCCAAAGCAAAGGGGTTAAAGTCCAAGAAGATAGTCCTGAAGAGTCCCCATAACCACACGAAGATCTGAACATCACCCATCTTCAGGCGGCCTGAGATGCTGAGACTCTAAGAGAGCTCAAATATCCTCACAAGAGTGCCCACAGGAGAAACAAGCTTGACCACTATGCAATCAAGTTTCTCCTGAACACTGAGTCAGCCATGAAGATACAAGAAAACAACACACTTATGTTCACTGTGGATGTCAAGGTCAAGAAGTACCAAATCAGTAAGCTGTAAAGAAGCTCTATGACATTGATGTGACTAAGGTCAACACCTTGATCAGGCCTAATGGAGAGCAGGCTTATGTTCGACTTGCTCCTGACTACGATGCTTTGTATGTTGCCAACAAAATTGGGATCATCTAAACTGAGTCCAGTTGGCTAGTTCTAAATACAAATTTTTCTTAAAAAAAGTATTTACACCGCCTCCCCTTTTTACTTTACTCCACAGTAAAGGACGTTTGTCTTGTGAGATTCTAATCTCACGCATGTGTAAGTGGCTATGTACCCCGGTCACCACGTAAAATCCAGTTCTTCCTCTGGATCATGGTGTAATATTGCAGAGGTAAAGGGCTGCACAATGCGACTTGACAGGCCACCAGCACACAGCCTCTGCAACAACCTGCTGAGAATTCTGAGTGAGAGTTAAGTACAGAACAAGTTAAGTTGACAGTAGTGATAAAGACATAGCAAAAGCAGCATTTTAGAATCATCAAGGTGGTTCCAGTGCAAGACTGCTCAGAGCAGAGGTGGAGGGAGGAAAAGGTTACTTCAGTGCCACTATTACAACATGAGACCCTCACAGAGAATGGGGCAGGGGGTGATGCAGCTACAAGGGAGGGCCAAGGGAATTAACATGGCGGAGCTGGGAGGGAGCTCTGGAATCAACATCATTATCTGTCTTAGAAATTGGTGGTGTTGCTACCGACTCAGCAATCCTCCATTGGGTTCCCAAGGTTCTTCACTGCAGGGCACTGCCCATGGCCACTCCCAGCAGCTGGTGGATTCCAAGCTCTGGAGTTGCTCCACAATGAATGGAACACACCCTATGCCACCACTTTTACAGATAAGAAAATCACATTTTTAAAAAAAAATCGGGGGGGGGGGAGGGAGAAAAAAAAATCCACCAATTCACATTAGTGGATCCCCAAAATCCAGTCTTCAAGCTTAATTTCCTGGCTGTTCATCCTCCAAGACATCAGATTTGGTTTCCTGGCAGTTTGTTGAATGTGACATTCTTCTCCAGTGCTGCAATTCAAAGACATCAATTCTTTGGTCTTCTTTATTCACTGTCCAAGTTTCAGAAGCATACAAAGCAACTGGAAATGCCATGGTTTGTGGGAAATAATGTAATTAATTATTGTTAGGTGCCATTGAGTCGTCTGATCCTCTGAACAACATACCTGAATCTTGCCCTATCCTACACCACTCATGATCTTTGATGCACTTAAACCCATTTTGACAGCCATTGTGTCAATCTATCTTCTTGAAGGTCTTCCTATTTCTGACCTTCCAAATTTTGTCTGGTTTTTTTTTCTAAGGACCCTTTTTTTTTTTCCTAAGGACCCTTCTGACAAGTCCCTATGTGAGATGAAGTTTGACTGTCTTTGCCTCTAAGGAGCATCCTGGTTGCACTTCCACCAAGCAAGATTGTTAATCAGATTATAATTGGCATTCCTGAATTCTCAAGTACAGAAAAGATAAAACCTGAGGTTCCCACCACCCCTTTAAGTCTGAATTCCAATTAAGTTACCATTGGTAGGCTCTTAAGGGATACCCAGTCCCGCTCCTGGCCCCACCCTGCTAGGGGCCTTTGATTCTATAATGACTCAAGAGTACAACTGACATCTTGTTTGTTGTTTTTATGTGCCGTGGAATTGTTTGTGACTCATAACGACCCTAAGTACAACAGCCCTAAACTCTGCTCTGTCCTGTGCCAATCACACTGTCTCTGACACACCCATCCCGATTACCCGAGTCACTGAATCAATCCACCTCATATAGGGTCTTCCCCTCCTGAGCTGTCCCTCCACCCTCCCAAGCATGATGTCCCTCTCCAAAGACCAGACCCTCCTTACAACATGTCCAAAAGTATGTCAGACGAAGTCCCAGAATCCTTGTCTCCAAGGAGCAGCCTGGTTTAACCCTCTCTAGGATGAATCTATTTGTTTTCTTGGCAGTCCATGGAACATTCAATACAACTGATGTATAGGGTTTCTACAACTGTAATGTTTGGCAACAGATCACCAGGCCTTTCTTCGGAGGCACGTGGATTGGCTGAGTAAACAAACCAATCTACCGGACCATTCATCCCAAATGACCATTCATCCCAACTCTTCGGCGGGTGTGAAGCGCCTGAAAGGGTTTTCCAGGACTGACTCATCTTTTTGCCCTAGGGTGGCTGGCTGGTCTAAACCACTGACCTGGAGCTCTTAATCACAACCACCCAAGGCTCCTAAGGCATTGCGGGCAAGCCAGTGAAAAACACCACCAAAACCTCTCATAAAATTTCCTGTTATTTTCAAATAGTTTGGATCTTTTGCAACCGCAACGCGTTAAAGAACACCTTAACGGCGGCCGGGAAACCGGAGCCGGGTTCGACCTCGGCGGGCACGTAGGGACGGAGACACCGGCGTGGGCGCCCCGTTCGAGGCCGCCACTCCTCGTCCCCGCGCGGCCGGCGGAGCAGGTGGCGCGCCCGGGGCCAACCGCGCAGGAGCGCGCAGCCCAGCGCCGCCCCCCGCACCGGAAGTGGGCTTCTCCGCGGCGCGCCGCCGCTTCCGGAAGCCGCCGGGGAATCCCGACCCCCTCCGGTGGACGGCGCCCACAGCGTCTTCGTTCCCAGGGAAACGAGCCGGGCTGTGACGTCACTTCCGCGGAGCCGTCCGCACTCCAGGCTGTCGCGAGGAAAAGAGGAAAAGGGAGCCGCAGCCACGACTGAGGACCCGAGCGCGGGCAGTCTGCGCATGCGCCCGCGCGGCAGCCTGCTTCTATTTATGTGGGGGATCCAACATGGCGCCCGTGGCGACCGGGTCGATGGCGGTGGGGTCGGTCCGGACGTAGTGGTGGAGCAGGGTGCACAGTCCGCACTCACGGTGGCGCCGGCGGAGGGCGGTGGAGGGACGCGAAGCGACGGAGAGAGGCGGCCGGGCGAGCACCTCGGCGCGGACCGCGCGCCGGCCCGAGCGCGAGCGGCGGATCACAACAGAGGGGATGGCGGAGCCGCGCAGGGTGGCTTTCATTAGCCTGTCACCGGCGCGGCGGCGCGAGGCCGAGGGCGGCGATCGCGGGCCCGAGC